AAACCGGACCGCACAAAACTGACGCTGCCAACAAATTTAACTTATAATTAGTACTAATTTAAAAAAATTCATTTTGAAGTAAAAATAAATCATAATATACTTTATTATTTTTTTCTTTTACTTCAATTTTTTCATTTTAGACTAAAAATAAAATGTAAACTCACAAAATGAACTCGGATTTCAAACTGTATATCTGATATTTAATAACTATTTACATGAAAAATAATCTTTTCTCAATGTTTATTATTTTCAAAAATAGTTTAACAATCACATTTCTTAATTTAAATTATTTTCAAAAAGTATTTATTATAACCTTCTCAAAGATAATAACGTTCGAAATTGTGAGCGGTTAAACTTCTTGATTCAAATTGTCATAAGAAAATTCAAGTTGAATATTCCTTTGGATATAACTCCACTTGTGATTAGTATGTTCATGTAAAATAATATGGTATTATAAATTCACTACACAAATACACCAGCTTTTATATATTTGGTTTTATAATTTGTTACACTTTTTATAAAGGAATGTAAATTTTATATCATTATGTTTCAGATAATCACTAGGCATTTTGGCTAATGTGCTTTAGAAAATCTATCTATATTTGTATATAAAATCTGAGTGGTAAAATTTTCAACCTCCTGACACATCTAGCATTGGCGGATGATGTAATCTCAGCAAGAACACTCCAAGCTTTATCAGGTGCATTGAAGAGTTCCTGGGATTTCCAAGGGAAATATGGCTTGAGATTAATGTCCAGAAGACAATGATATGCAGGCGGCAAAAAATTATGGTGAAGAGCAGACAATTCAACTGGGTGAGTACAAAATACAATTTTGTCCAGAATTCAGATATCTCGGTAGCTTGACAACCACCGATAAATTGACCGAAGTCGATATCAAAGCCAGAATTGCTGCTGGAAACTGCTGCCAATGGAATTTGCAGGAATCCCTTAAGTTCGAGAACCTCTCAAAAAAAGCAAAGCTCTTAATTTATAAGACAATAGTAAGGTAAATTGTCACATATGGGAGCAAATCATGGAGCTTAACAGCAGAAAATAACAGAGCTTTAAAAGTTTGGAAAAGAAAAGTTCTTCGTCGAATATTCGGTGCAGTGAAAGAGGGAGATGCCTGGCAAATTATCACCTCTTATATCCAGCTGGATAAAGGTGATTGGGACATATAGAGAGAATGGACTCTAGTAGAATCTTTAAAAAACTGCTCTACGGGAAGCCAGGTGGTGGACGAAAGTGGGGGAGGCCTCAATTGCGATGGCTGGGTGATGTCGAGGCATACCTGAAGGCTTCAGGTGTACGCTGCGGAGATATGCTGGAGAAGATATGCTGCGGACAGAGCCGAATGGAGCAATATATTGATGGACGCCAAGGTCCTATATGGACTGTAGTGCCAGTTTGTGAGTGAGTGATATTTGTATATAGATATCTATATTTTTTATTAAAATATAAGTGTATCACTCATTTTGAAAAGGACTATATATACACGTGCTTTTGAATAATCATCAAGTTGACTTATCAAAAACAAACTAAAAAGAAAAATCATTTGGATTTTGAAATTATTGCCCCTCCCTGATATAAAATTCTTCACAATCTATCTCATATTTATTTATTTTTTACACATATTTTTTTAAATTTTATATTTTCATACTAGTTAAATTCTACTCTCTGTTGTTAAAATTGTTTTGTGCTCAATAAATGCTAACCAAAATGTACAATGTGTAATATTACAAGGAAAAACACTTTGGGAACAGATTCTACACTGAATTTGCAAAAATATTGTTCGATAAACATATATTTTTAAATAATTGAGGTTATTTTATGCCTTTTGAGGTTTTTTATTTTTTTTTATTTCAAGTCTTTTCTCCTATATCTGAAGCAGTAATTGATGGTAATAACATTTTTGATTGAATGGTTTATTTCTGCATTATATTTTAATATTGCTGGGAACTCAAATATATTGTATGCTTACCACAAAATATCACTTACTATATTTTTGATGTAACTAAGTACGTTTTAGGAATTCCAATCTTATATCAAGAAAAAATTCAGTAAGTAAATCAAAATGACATTACCTCTTTTATTAAATCAGTTACATTAATTGCACACAGTTTTGATTTCATACAAAAAAAAATTCAACTTATTGATTTGATTTTATGGAATGTCACTTAACAACGTTTTACATTAAACTCATCATATAATATATTTCAAATATAATAAATAAATAAATGATAAGATACAAATATGTAATATGCAGCTCAAGATCAAAATGCATTTGGCCTATTTTTTGAAAAAATTCATTTGGCATCAGAATTTTAAATTATTTTTTGTCAATAATCTAAATAAAATATTGAGTAAAAATTTATATTATATCACTATAAGACAGTTTGAGGTAAAATTAAGGATAGAAATTTAATATTACCTCTTTTTTCTGTTAGTATATGTCCTTCTTAGACTGATTTAATAGAGAAGATAAAAAATATGTAAGTTTTTGAACAAAAAGTTGATATTTTACTTTTGTTAATAAAATCAAAAATTAATATTCAAAATCTAACCCGATGTAATCCACTTTAGTCAACCATTTTTCAGCCAGTATTTAAATGTCACACGAGTACTACTAGGGGAGCTATTGAAAATATCTTGGGCTACAATTTGAACCTCTGCAAAATTGTTAATTTTTTTTGCAGAATGTGGACCACTAAGCGAAATAAGTGATAATCTGATAAAGCAAAGTGCCAACTATTAGGTAGGTTTGTTAGAAGTTTGACCCTATGTAAGTAGTTCGACTTTTCCTTGATCAGACAGAACATTTGCATTCGTGTATAATCCTACCGAAATACCTATATAGTTGAACAGGTATAAACAATTAATCTAAGCATTAATTTTGCACTAAAAAATGTGACTATAAATATACAGAAACACTTTCAACTCAAAATGGTTAAAAATTTCACATGTCATTCTGAAATAATCTATCGGTTGTCATCAGTGCTGGCCTTAGACATTCGCCATTCCTGGGCACAGACGTCGTCTCTCCTAAAAATTTTTAATTTATTTCATAAGCTGTTTTATATTATGTAATATTGGAATTTTATTTCATTAAATATTTATCTAACATAATTGCTTTATCGATAGGCTAAAATTAAATCATTTTATTACGTTTTCTATTTTATTTTAATTTCCAACAAGTGGTGAGCGCCCCTGAAAATCGGCCCCGGTTGTCCCATCCTAAGGCCTGCACTGTTTGTCATGTTCCTTAAGGATTATTAGAGTTTGAAACTTGAATTCTAAAAAAATGCAGAAGGCACTTAGACCCTTTTATATTTTTATGAAACTTCCATTTTATAATAAGATAATTAATTTTTATCGGCAGTATATGATAAACTTTACAGCAGCAATCTACATTCTCTATTTTGTTAATATATTACAAATTGATGGCAGAGATATACAATATTTGTTCTGCATTTATACGATCTTATGTTTCTCTGATATTTGTGAGGCGCAAAGCTTTATTTTGGAATATTATAAAGATACCCTTAAAAATTTTCACTTGACTTTTAACAATGTAACGACAAATAAAACAAGGAACAAAAAGTTACATGATCAAATGAATTTTTTTTATTTCAAATCGTAATACATAATAAATAATTACAAGGTTACAGACCACTTAAAGGTATACAAACTCAAATAATAACAAATTCACAGAGGAAAAAAAGTGGAGCAATTGATAAATACCAATTGCAAAAGCTCGAAAATTAAACACTAATCATCAAAATTTAAAAAAATATTGGGAAGGCACTAGTGGCATGAAATTATACTAACTACTGCTAAAGTTCCTAATTAGAAGCCATTACAAACAGAACCACAGCCATGGCTATAATAAATTTATTTAATTTGGACTCTCAGATTTATACAGCAGTTCATTAGCAAAAAGATAAAACATAAGAACAAGACATATATATTATTTATTTCTTATATAGTAAGACCGAACGCTTCATTATTAAAAAAAAAATCTATAAAATGAAAACGTTATGATTTTTCAATTAATTTAAATATTATTTTGAAATAACAGGAAGGAGATGATGGCTATACACGTAAAGCAATCATACTTCTTCAATAAGGTATTTATTTTAATAAAGAAACATCACGATAAAAGTATGAAATAACTTGGGTGAAACATTCATTTCAAACATTTTTAAGAAGTCAATACTCCTATTAACATGGAACGATAAGTTATAGATCAAAGTGCATTTTCTCTGTTTTCTGGACAAAATTCATTTTGTTCAGGAATCGTTAAGTACTTTTGGCAAATAATCTAAGTCTGAGATATTTTGCACCATATTGCTTCTTTTCACCGAGTTATACACCCTTTGAAGTTTATTGTTCACTGCAAAATTCATTTTGTGAATGAAAATGGACAAAATGCATTTTGGTAATTTATAGTTTTTCAAATGACATATTGCTAAATTTAAAAAAATAAATAAAATAAAACTGATGCTATTTTTTGGCCAAAAAAAAATACTGAATTCGTATCTTGCAAAATAACAAAAACATAAAATATTTTTGTAATAGGGAGTTCAACTTTTCTTAAAAATGAGATTATGGCAGCAATACATTCATCATCCTGTCCTTTGCGGTCCAAATTAAATATATTTATTGATTTTTTAATTACATTATATTTTGGCTATTTGAATATTACTAGTTCTATATTTTTTTTAATGATTAATAAATGGTAACTATTACATATTAAATTGGCATAGTGTAGCTCTTTATAAGATAAAATAAAATAAATTTTCAATTAGCAGTTATACAAGTCTAAATAGCGTACAAAACAACATTCACTAACTTTATGAACAATATTATATTTACTGATTGATACAGGTTTTTACAAAAATCTATTGATATTTTTTATAAACAGTATAGAAGTAGTAAGATACATTTCACATAATATTAATACACTTAAAGCAAATATAGAAATAAAACAATATGAGAAAAAATTCATCAATCCAGTTTAAGTTACAAGCTTTATATTGATATTTTACACCAAAAAGAAAAATCTTAAATTGGTTCCACTTTGAGCAGAAGACAAAAGATAATTAGTTCATACTATCTAGATTATAAAATAAGATCATTTCATTATTTACTATGTTAATTTTTATACTAATTTAGAAACAAAATAAAAAATATTTGAAACACTTTATTGTACAAATTAAAAATAATTAAAAAGGCACTCCTAAAGTCATGTTAAATGTTATAATTTGTCCATGAAATAGGGTTGACCATTTTTCGTTAACCTATCAGTAAGAATATCGACACCGGTATTTGTGACAAGGAGCGTGTGCTCGAACTGCGCTGATAACATGCCATCTGCTGTTACTGCAGTCCATTTATCTGGCCAGATCTCGTCTCTCCAGCTTCCTGGTTTAAAAAAAAATCACAACAATCATAAGTCTTTAATTAATACCTTTATGGTTAACAAATAATAAATGCCAAAAAAATTTATTTAAGCTTTTGAGACCATTATTATTATGAAACCACATTATGAGACATCGCCATACAGCTGATGAGACAAGGAGGATAAGTATAAAAAATATAATTCATGACATCTAGTATCTGATGACTAATAAATTTTCCTGGTTTCTCTTTTGTACTGTCAATATAATTGAAAGTAATATCGTCGGTTTATTGCAAAAAGTCACTAAGTGCATTTTTGTTGTAGCTTAAGTTTCAAATATGTTTTTTGTGAATTTCTACCTTATTTATCTATAGAAAAAATCCTTAACTGCATAAATATGAACAAAACCCTTTTATTTATCATATATAATTACATTTTTTGTATGTACTGCAATGTACTTGTTAAGAAGATAAAAAAAATCACTCCCAATGAAGTAGGTAGTAGAATTAATTAAATGATAAAAAATTGACTATATACCTTGCGAAATCATAGGCTCAATAGTGAAACAATGTCCAGGCTTCATTACTCCAACAGCCTTATTTTCTAGTAAACAAATAAATAAATATAACAAGCATAAACATTAAAGTTATTAAAGTAAAAATTATATTAGAGGTTATAACATTAAATATAATAACAAGAATAACTAACTTGCATAATGTGGTATACTAGGTGCAGTGTGGAAGACCTGATGAATTCCGTGTCCACAGTAACTTCGAACGACGGAAAACCCGTGTGCTTGAGCATGTTTTTGAATCACATTTCCGATTTCTCTATATTTTTCTCCAGGTTTGACTGAAAATTAATAAATCAACTAAGAAAATTTTTAGGTTCTTAACTTATTTACTAAGAAATAAAAAATATTCCATTTTCTGATACTAGATTTTCTAACAAACAAGAAGAAGAAAACAAAAATGAAACTAAAAATGTATTTACCGATCTGGATGGCTTTCTGTAAGCACTCCCAGGTTACTCTAGTCAGCTTCTTGGCTACCTCGCTAACCTCCCCCACAAAAAATGTTTCATTCAGATCGCCATGGTAATCTCGATGGAAAACAGTGATATCAACTGAAAAAAATAAAATTCAAATATCAGTACGTAAAAATGTTAATAGAATTCAATCGAGGTTTTATATAATTTATTATAAAATTTATCAAGGGAAGATGTATTATAGTGGTCAAAAAAGGAACTTCAAATAATATAGACAATTTATTGAAACCAAAAATATAATATTTCAACAGTTTATGCAGTTTGAAATTCTTTTTTCTCTTTGATAATCTATATTTTTACAAATTATAAATAGGATCAATTAATAAACATCCAATAGAAAATGCATCCATAAAATTACAGACTGTGACTGTTGCTGGATTCTATATTAAGCCTGATTCATCCTTTTACTATTCACCACTCTTTTTTTTTTAATCAGCATAATGCACAGTGGCCTACATATATCTCATTTCCCAATATTTCGAAGAACAATAATAAAATCAAAATCCATAAGGATCAATCTACTGGAATGAATAAAATATGTAAACAAAAATAATTGAGGAAATATGAAAAGTCGGCTAAATGGCTACCCTAAGACCTAGAAGTAGGTACGCAAGTATTATATCACACCTTATATCATTGAAATTTTAGTTTATATTTATTAACATTATTATATTTACTAACATATTCGAGGATTTTACGATTCATTCATGTCCACCCTTCCCGTAGCATATTTGAAGCATTGGTGAACTGAGAGCTCATCTCATTGCCTCAAACTCTTAAATAAAAATAAAAATATGCACAGCACAATATATTCTAATATATTCAAATTCTTTGTTAACGATTTATAAAATATATCCGTAAGTAAAAAAAAGAAAAAATATATATATAACCATTTATATGAATTTTTTTTTTCTGTTGGCATTACAGACCATGTAGATCTTTTGTCGCCATAATAACAAGCCTGCTCCATCTCTGCGCCTGTCTTGGGCTATTTCTTTCCATTTATTTTTATATATTGTATTATATTATTCGTTTTACAGTAACTATATTAATGATCACTCATAATTTTTATAGATAATATAAACCCCCAAGACTTTTTTTTTTAGGAGGTCTTTCACCCTCCCCTCAACCAGAATGGAAACTCTGCGCTTAAGATGGCCTAATATGCATTATTAGCTATCAGCCTTTTTCTTGAAAACATAATTTTAATAATATAACTAAACTGTAAGAAACTTGTTGGATTGACAAGTTCACAGTCACTCGGAACCACTCCAAATAGCCAGAACCTATCGGGCCAATGAGGGATAATATAATAGAGACAGGTTCATTCTCACCATGGCAGAACCTACAAAGAGGTGATTATTAGTCCATATGGAACATATGGTAATTCAGGTAGCATTGACAAAAACATATTACTGCAATTTTGCTCAAAGATACCCTGCTCGTATTGAATAGATTACTTCTCCTTGAGTAGGAGCCATCGATCGAGGAACAGCCTGAAATAAAACTGTTCCTTTTCATACCAATATTATTTTGTCTTAATACCGTAGAATTCACAGATTCTACTTTCGGTAAAGCTTAAGCTTATACCACAAACTGGTTATGGGGTGATGGAAATGCTTTCCGAACCTTTCCCGATTAAATTCACCATAGTAGTCTTCAACGCACACAACAAGAAATGAAAGGAAGGTACTTGTGACTTAGCTGGTCACCACGGAACCTCCCTTTCTATTTTATATATGCATTAAAAACTTGTTTACCATTACAAATGTCGCCATCCGCCAAAGGTCTAAGATCTGGAATTCCATGACAAATAACCTCATTAACTGAAGTACAACAAGACCTTGGGAATTGATAATAATTTAATGGAGATGGGTAACATTCCCTTTCTATACAAGCTTCGTGGACTATTCTATCAATTTCATCCGTTGTAACGCCGACTTCAATAACATTTGCTGCTTCCTCAAGAACTTCTCTTCCCAACTACAACAGAAAAATTAAGATGTGATTAACATAAAAGATATAAATTAATTGAGCCCTTGAATGTAAAAGTGGAATAGATAAAAAAAATAAAGTTATGAGACATTTAAATCTTTGGCAAAAGTTTAATAAAGAAAGATACAGAGTAAAATTATTTCTTCGTGAGGAATAACAACATATTCAGTCAGTATCAAGCATATATAACCATTTAATAGCACTAGTTTAATACACTCAGTAATAAGTCAATTATTTATTATGAAAATGACTTAAATCACTTTTACATACAATAGTCAACTTGTTAGGATGAAATTAGAAAATTTAAAGCAATGGAAAGTTTCTAATGGTGGGGAGATTGTTGACCGTAGATTCTGATTTCAGAAGAAGTAAGTCGGGGGTGCGGTTAATATATAAAATACAATATTATATAATAGTATGTTTAAGTATTATAGTATAATAATGTTTATATATTGACCGCATCCAGACTTACTTCTACTGAAAATGGAAAATTTTGGTTGTTTCTGTTCTGATGGAGGCTGAATTGGAAAAAGTTGATGGTTTTATTGTTTATCTGCAATATACATACTTAAAGCTTTCTGTTTAGAATTTTTCTATTAATCTTTAAGAAGTAATCTAAAATTTAGAAAACAAAATGTATTTATATCTATAAGAACGGCAATGATAAACCAATCATCTCTATGCAAATTCCGAGAGAGGCCAGTGTATAAAAAGAGTACTGCAGTCCACAAAACATATCGAGGAATCTCAAATTAAGAGTCTACAATCCAGAGATGGGCAAATGCTACTCTGAGTACTGAATACCAAGTATTTTACTCAAATACTGACCGTTTTTGAGTATCAAAAATTTTAATTACTACTTCAGTTGATGTCAAATGATTAACTGAAGTAGTGAATGAATATTCAATATTGATTCACGTTGAGTAAAATACTTGGTGCTCGGTACTCTGAGTAGAATTTGCCCATCTCTGGTACAATGCAATGACAAAGTCAGTTTGTTTTACAACTGTGGAACCTGGGCTTTAACCAGTATATTTGAAAGACGAATTAAAGATTTAAGAGAGTCATCCATGATAACTAAAGCCATCTAAGATCAGAGTTTAATGCATAAAAGAGCGGAAATAAAGAAAAGCTTACAGAACTGGTCAATCAATATTTCATGATATAAAGGTAAGGAGGTTAACATGGGTATGGCATATAGTTCGAAGCAATCCATCAGGAAGCCTCTGATTGTTGTCGATTAAATCCACAGTAGACGACAATAGACCAAGTGGATAGATAGATAGACCCCAAAAGCAGATAGATAGATAGAATTAACAGAGGGCTAAATATATACAAGATCTGTAAAGTCTACAGAATATGAAAACAAATCTATGAACATTTTATTATTTTAATTAATAAAATATTGAATAAATCAAATATATAGTACTATATATTGGTATTGACTAGTAAAAGTAGATTCTGAACATTTTAGGAAGTCAATTGACTTCACAATTTGTTATACCTTACAAGCTACCCGCATTCCTTCAATTTCTTCATCGTCTAAAACCTTTATGAATGCCGATTTCCTCATCTGTTGCTCAGATAAGGGTACTCCTTCTGGATGATCAGCATAATCTGGTCGCCCAATATTCGGAGGTACGGTTCTTTTCGTGGCTTGTTTAAAAGGACGCAGCTTACCTAAAATTACAAAATAAGCATACTTATCTGATAAAGATTGGTTAGATAAAAATAAAAATTACTATCTTTACCAGTAAATCTGAAATGTGGCCAGGGATTATATTCATTACTGCCATTTTCACTGGATTCTGTTCCTTCTAAACAAACATTGATTCAATGAAGAGCATAGTCATGGTACTGAATTACTCAGTTATATTTAAATTATTTGAAGTAATAAAATACCTACGGGCTATTTTATGTAGAACTTTGTGTGTTTTCCAGTTTTCTTTAAAACAATCCTACAACACAAATAATGGTGAACAAAAGATATGAAAATAGCAACGGCGAGGCCGATAAAAGATCTATTTATTTTGCTTTTTAAATTACTTGTGAGCAGAAAAATGATCCTTGGATTCCGAGATTAATGCAGGTGGGGCATTGTAGTTTGGCAGGCAAGTTACACCCCGGGGATTCGCAAATCCTAGCGACAGAAGACATGGTCCGAGTCCGGATTAGGAAGGACTGCGAGGAACAGTTAGTGAAACCTCCCTACATTTCGTTTTTATTTTGTAATCTGATCTGTATCGATATGTATTTTTTTATTATCGATCACATAAAAACAGAAATTTTGATTAATGATAATATCTAATTAAAAGATTATTTTTAACAACATATTCTTTTAAATAAATCCTCATTAAAATCCAAAATAGAAGCATAAGATCCCCTTTAATAATTCACGTGTCCAGATGACAAAATTAATACACTTTTTCCTAAACTACATTATCAAATATAAGAAAAGTTTTTTTATATTCCTGTATCACATTTCTTGATATTTGGACGTGATACCTTTTCTATAAGTTTTTAAAACTTAAGCCGTAACGTCGGCACAAAGAAACAAAATTTTTAAGTAATTTCTGCATTTAATGACTCCCCCCCTCTTCCCAAACAACTTTTACTATTTATATTTCATACCTGGAGATAAACTAAGAGAACTAGGGATAATTTACTATTAAAAATCAATCTTGACATTTATTATGTATCCAACAAAAATATTATGTAAAGATATTTCATTATTATTATATAATTTATTTATTTTCCACCCTCCCATGCCGACTGGTCAACATGGGTTTATGCAGTAGTGTGATGTTAAGCATTAATGCATAATAACATACTACTGCGATAATATCAGTTAACATAATTCAAAGCTGTGCACACAAAGCTCTTCTACTTTTCCTCATTATTCAGCAAATTAGGCCTGGCTTCCCGAATCCGGAGGTCTTCCGGGCACCTAGGTTGAAGTGAGGTGGGCCCACCGTTGTCTTCCTGCTATTTATAAACTCTTTGAACCGCGAGAAGTTTTCTTCACTCACCAACTGATGAAACTCCTCCTCAGTGAGGACGTAAATTCCTCGTGGTTCTCCTTAACCTGGCTCTTAATTCATTGAAAGCAATGCAGGCCGTGACCACATGCTCAACAGTCTCTGGAACACCACAAATGGGACATGTAGGGATCTGTATCCTGTCCGAAGCCATGAAGTTTAGCTCTGAAACTCCCATGCCCCATGAGAAATTGTGAAACTCAATAGTCCGGGAGGATCCATTTTGCTTGTAACCAAGACTCAACAGTGGGGGAGTATTTTCTTAAGGTACTGCCTTTCGGAGTCGTCACCCACTGTCTGTTCCAATCTTCAATTGTTTCCTCCCGGATAATCTTTTTCCATTTATTTGGGTTTTCAATAATCCTCATACCTAGGTTCTCCGACAGACCTGTTGAGCCCTCCCTCTTGTAATCGTACCCGGTCACTTCTCCTCGCAGGAGGTCGAGAAGCACCACCCCCGCTAATTATTATATAATGTCAAGCTATCTATATTTTATTTTAATGTAAATTTAGAAGTTAAAAAATAAAATCTTGTAAGCCAAGCAACCACAGTTGCAAACGTCCCCTCCCCCTCCTCCCCTCTGTAAGTCTTTTGTACAGTCATAAATATCTTATTCTGTTAATTCTTGAAGCCATAATTGGATGTATGGGAGTTACATTCCTTTTCCTATAATTTTATTATATTGTTCTATAATATTCTCTTTGATAGTGCATGTCGAATTGTACAGATGCTATTTTTTGATCTCCATTATTTTTTTTAGTTTGTAATCTTATGTTGAATGATCTAATACAGGGATCCTCTTTTTGGACTGCGGCCACATTGAGACTTCTATCAAGTCTCGTGGGTCATGGCTTGCTATGAAAAAAAAAAGCTAGTTTTATAAATGACACTTCATATTAAAATGAGCTTTTTAAGAGAAAAAAAACTCATACAATGAATGTTGTGGTTACCTCCTATTCAAGTGATTTGCTATTTTTAAAATTTTGTCATGTAATCAAAAAAACATCTGCCGGATTGGAGGTGCTTACAGACCAGATCTGGGACATATTTCGGAGATCCCTGAAGACGATACCATAATACAGTCCTGAATTGACAAAATGTTGACTCATTTTTTTACTGGCAGTTGAAAGATCCGAAAATTTGATAAGATTTTCCATTAATATATCAATAATTTTCTTGTTGTTTTTTTTTTCATGATAACCAATAGTTGGATGTTATGATCAATTTTTGTGTAAGTAGAGTCTCTCCCTCATATTTTGACTTTTTCAACGTACCTAAACTTAAATGTTATAAAAATTACTTTATTAAAGGAAAACTTGATATAGCTATTAACTTGATAGAGTTGATATTAACGCAATTGTAAGAGAAATCGGTTAGAAGTTCCAGTTGAATCGTCCGGCTTACCTTTTGTTTTTCTTCTGAAATATTTACATCTGGAATCGATGGTTGGTTTATTCATCTCATTCAAGATTGTATATTGTAGGTAAACATGACAAGGTAAGGCAGTTGCCCATTCCTTTCCAGCTTGGAAAAAATTAAAACTAAGTTGCTATATATAAAATTGAATGTCTTTAGTATTGATTAACAAAGTAAGGTATTAGGTATAAGTATTTCAATATATAAAAAAATATTAATTGGGTAACTGACTGGTTACCAGACAGTTAAAGTAAAATTCCCTGACTTATCCATATTAATGATAGTTTTCCCTGACCAATAGGTCTAGGGACACAAATATTAAAAATTTATAATTTATAACTAAATTTATTTCTTATGCGTGAAAGAAAATAGACTACAAAATAATTTGATAAAAAAAAAAATCAGTTTTTTAAACTATAATGTTTTGAAGGAAGTATTTTTTAAAGATTGATTAGGATTTTTTATTTCAGAAAACTGAACTTATAGTAATTCTTTTTTATCACTTTTAATTTATTTTCATAAACTGAGAGGATGTAAAGTTGATACTTGACATATAAACCTCTGATTTTCTCTATCATAAAATAAAGTGAGCTACAGGGGTTTCTAATATTAATGTAGTTTCTCATAATTTACTTTCTTTAATACTAAAAACAGCATAATTATCCAAAGGAGCATCATGGGCTGAATGAATGAGTGCTTGCCAGCCATCCAGATGTATATATTACAAATAGTAAATAGTATTGGTGTTTTTCTTTTCAAAAAAGCAGTTTTAATTCCATTTTGCAAAAAATTTTATTCATTACCCTTGTTTGACCTTAATATAACGACCATTGCCGTTATTAACAGTCAAAGGTGGATGAATATGGCGAACTTGGTTGTTTATAATGCCTAAGTTAACTAGTTCAAGGATATACTTTGTATACTTATTTCCAATTTGAAAATAATATTAACATACTAAAAAATTCCCTGAATTTAACTTTTCCCATTCTTCAAATCAGTCGAAACCCTGAGTAACTTCGGAACCAAATTAAATCAACTTCCCCTTTTCTCCTCATACCCATGTAACTAAACCTTTAAATTTTTTTTTACTATTTATTGATATCCAACAAGGAACATATAAGTGAGTTAATGTCAAAGATGGATATCTTGTCATTTTCAGAATGTGGAGGAAAAAGTAAATTTTTGTCGTATAGGCTCAACTCAAAACTGTTTCTGATGACTTAATCAAACAACATTTAAGTTGAATTACGAAAAACAATCATTAGCATTGGTCAGTCTAATTTGAAGCCATATTACAAAAATTGGCTTTTTCTCACCTTTTTAAAAATTACAGTTGTCCATCTTTGATATGAGCTTTATATTTCTACTTACCAGCTATGAAATATCTCCAAATAAAATAAAACTTATTACCTTTTCATAAGAACATTTCATCTTTGTCCTAAGAATGTAATAAAAACTGAACAGAAAATCAGTTGTATCATTCTTTTTAGACTCCAACATATTTTGATTATTGTCATTACAACTCTTGTAATGTATTTGTAGATTTTCTAAAATTTAAGAATCTATCATGATTAAGTATAGCACACAACAGAGCCAAATTTATTTTGTTATAACAAATGAGTGAGCAACTATTATTAAAAAATCTACAGGATTAACTAAAAAAAAAATTTTAAATCACAGTTTTTGATCATGCTATATAAATAAAATACTTATTTGGTGAAAGTGAACATTTAGTTCTCAAATGTACTAAATTAAAGCTTTCTCAGAAACTTAGAGATTAACTAAGATTAAGAGATATTAACTTAGATGGGGCAAAAACTAATTGGCTCTGAGGCAGCTAACATAATTTTAGTTGTAAAAGTCAGAACTTACTGACTTTAACTAAGACATTTTTAAAAATCAATTTATAATTTGAACTTCTGAGCAATAACATGAAAAAATTCTTTAAATTGTGGAATAGTTGACCATAGTTGTCTAGGAGATAATAAAAATTGAAGATATTAATAAAAATCTGTTTGATGAAATTAAGTTTCATTAAATAGTTAGGACCATTCAATACATCATTTTATGCTTGATTTACACTGATAATTTCATATTGAATATAGTTTATCCTATTTCAATAAAATACCAAAGGCAAATTTCGAAACTTCAAAGGCAAATTTCAGTGCTAATTTCACTGGTGGGATCCAAGATTAAGGACTTAATCTAAGAAACAGTGAGATCAGAAACTTTCACTAATGGCTATTTTGTGAAGCAATAAAAGCTATATAGCCAAAATGATAAGTTTTGAAAAGCTTCAATAGTAGATAATTAATAAGTTAAAATAGGTATATCAATACAAAATAAAAAGAAGATACAGTGAGGGAGAAAAACACACTAATTTAGGTACACATCCAGTTTATTGTTTAAAATTATTTTTAGTAAAAACAAAATAAAATGTAGGAATAAATGAATGTATACAACTCCAGTTTACAAACGACGTCCCCTACGACCTCCCTTTCTCCTGGTGGAATCGGAAGGAATGGGAGTAACATCTTCAATTCTGCCGATCTTCATAGCACTACGTGCAAGAGCCCTCAGAGCGGACTGGGCGCCTGGTCCTGGAGTCTTGGTCTTGTTTCCTCCGGTGGCACGCAGCTTGATATGCAGAGCTGTGATTCCAAGTGTCTTGCACTTTTCAGCAACATCCTACAAATATTTAAGAAGTTAATATTATATCATATCTATATTATATCAACTTCTTTAAAAAACAAAAATTGATCATTGACATAATAATTAGGGTCAATATTTTTCACCATAATAGCCATTAGCAGAATCCTTATTTCTTATCAAGAATATCAGTTGGATATTCTTAATAAGAAATAATCTAGATAATTTTATCTAAAAAATAAATATTCTATAAATTCTGATGAAATATGATTAAGATATTAACGACAATCTAGAGATAAACAAAACTAGAATGCAAATTGACAGTATATTCATGAAACCTCAAACTATATGTATAAATTACTGTTTTAAAACAATTATGCCTATATGTACAATTGATAACTAATATCTTGTAATATATTATTAACAACTCAAGGGAGTTTGATTTTCGTCAATTATTCTTTTATTGTTTCAAAATTTTTTTCTCTAAATGATAGTGTACACAATGAACTCACTAGGTAACGTGTTTTTGTGTGTTAGCGTTGTTTGATTGAGCACAAAAACAATCTGTCTACTACTAGAAAACTAAACATTTTTGTAGTAATGATTGAAAATCATTCATATTTCTATTCTAAGCATGGGAGGGTTCGATTTTTTCTCAGGAAATGTCTTGTTCCAGTAGTAAACAGCGGTGTCTACTTGTGCTTCACAAAAATGTCTACTATTGGAACAAGAAATTCCACCATCATCCCCCTAAGGCCTGTCAAGTTTTGGGGGTTGATGAATATGGTCTAGTATGTGTTATGCTTTTGAGAGTTTGTAACAGATTGGAGACAGTTTTTGAATTTCAGGAAACTACAAAGCTGTAAGTAGGAAATGATGACGCTGTAACCAAACTACTAAAGACTTTAATATTTGGGGAAAAGAAAAAAATAATTCAATTTCCATTCAGCTTGGATTTTGACTGATCTCACAATTACGTTTTAAGGACTTAATTTATTTATGATCCTACGTGTTACATTTTCATTTACATTCATTTCACAATTTAATTGAATAAGTTTCATTGAGTAAAATTACCTAGCTAGTGCCTTTTAAAATAAATAATTGTGGTAATAGGTGCTGTAAATATATATATATATATATATAATTTTTTTTTTTATTGTTTCTGTTCAAAATTTATTTAATGAATAATTTAAATAGGTAGTGTTTTTAAGCATAAGCAAGAACCAAACAAAGAACACTAAATGTGTTGTGCATCTTTAAAAAAAAAATTAAATTAAAGTGTTGTATTCCTTTTTACCTACAAATATAATTTAGTTAAAAAAATAATTTTTTTTTTCATTTATGAAGTTTGTGTTTTTTTTTAAATCATAGTTCCTTGGTAAAAACTGCCAATGTAGGTGCATATTTGATTAGAAATATATTAATTAAGTGGGGTCAACTACTGATGTGTTTTCTTGTCTACTACTGGTACACTGATGTCTACTATCGGTGAAAAAACATGCTCTCGAAAATTATCTAAATATCAATGTTAAGTTATTTTAGAAGGAATTTAGGTAACTTATCATTGTTATCTTATCATTACACATTACAAGGCTTTTAGGAAGCGGATGCTACTGATTAAGAGAAAAAATATAAACAATGTTGTTATAATATTTGATTTTTTAAAAAATAAAGACAAATTCAAGGAAATGCCTAAAGTCATACCTGAGCTGCCAACATAGCAGCGTAGGGGGATGCTTCATCACGATCTGCCTTTACCTTCATGCCTCCTGTAACTCGAGCAATAGTTTCCCTGAAAAATTAACGACAGTTAATAGTAACAATAAATGTTTCCTTCCTTACTTTTTTTTATCTAGAATTCTTTAACTAATTATAATAAAACATGAAATAAAAATAATAAATACAATTTATCAGATGTATACTTTTATAAAAAGTTATAAATTTGATAGATTACTTTGTTATTAAACTTTTTAAATAGCAATATAAATCTAATAACAAATGTCTGGACTAGGCACACATGTAATCAATGATAATTACATTTAAGCTATTCATAATTTATAATGTCATCTCATAATTAAATAGAATTAACTATACAATTTCAAATTTAATTTAACAAGTATTAAGAACTTTGGAAAATATAACATAATAAATTTTTTTTTTCGATTGAATTTTTTACGATTAACTAAAGTAGTGATTGAATTCCCAATAGTGATTGAATTTGAGTGAAATACTTGGGACTTGGTACTCAATGTAGCATTTGCCTATCTCTGCTTGGAACTACCTTCTTCTATCATTGATACATACAGCCTCAAGTAGAAAGAAAATAAAATGGAAATAACAAAAAGCAGCTATTTGATTAGAAAATATAAGTAATTGCTTTAAAAAATAATTTATAGTTCCATACGAATAATAACCGAATTTAGATTGTTTTCACCTTAATGGAAGAAAGGCATTTAATCAATATAAAATACTATAAATTTAGCAATAATATACACTAACTGAATATCATAATAATAATAAGAAAAACCATCAGGAATTAGAAATATAATTAAATTATAATCCTATTATGCAGTTACAAACTTATGATATCTAGCTAGAGGGGGCTTCCCCAAAAAGTCCCGGGAGTTCATAGTTTCAATGGAAATTATGAGTGATAATTAATATAATTAACATCATTATTTTAAAACAAATAATAACATGCTATATACTATCATAAGCTTATCCATATATATTTATTGATAAAGTAACAATTGATTTCTTTAAATTTTGATGCGGTGTATTATTTTATTTTCTTATTAATTTGGCATTTGATAACAATATACTGTGCGAAGTTTTCGCACGGGCCTAATAGTATAACAATATAGCTTTTGATTTTATTTTCGTTCTTTGAAATATTAGGGGAGGGAGGAGGGCAAATGGTATCCTTGCCTTGCTCCTTCTCTATTTTTTTTCATTAAAAAAATATAAATAATAATTTCAGAAAACTAACATTATTTAACGTAAATCACATGTTTCCAAGGAAATTAAATGAAATTTTATTACTAAATGTGTAAACTTTTAAATTATTTTCTGACTTTGAAAAAAGCTTTTAAAATCCACCGTATCAAGCCAATGCCATTGTTTAAAATACTAATTCATTGTTCTTATGTGAAAGAAGACGTGAAACATAAAAATATTTCATGGATGTTTACAATCTTAAATACATTTACTGTAGTTTAATAACTCTTGATATGATATTATATTATATTTATATAATTGGGTATCTATCAGCAGTTTATTCTGAAAAATCCTTAAGTGCACATTTTAGAAAATTAAATCAGTGAATAATTTCATGAATTAATCCTTGGTGAAAAACCAATGTTATCCACTTGCAATTAGCGTGACAACTTTTGGCCTTTTCATGGCAGGCAATGAAAATCTTGTAATTTCATTTTAGTAAACTTGAAATAGAAAATAACGGTTAAATAACTAGTAGTCCAATAATCCATAATCATTTATAGGTTAAATATTCAGATTCACTTTGAAATCAGTCTAGGCATATATGAACCATTCGATTGACAGAATGACTAACTCCAATTTCAACATTCTTACTTATTAATTTTAGTGATGATTCTAGTAGCAAAACTTATACCTCTATTCACAGTTCATCTACTCTGGAATCAACTTACTCACTGCCTGTATAGATATTTACTAAAAAATGTTGAAACTGGCGTTAGTCATTCTGTCAACTGAACGGCTCAGAGACTGAAGTTATGAGGTTTATAAAAGCAGATGGAGTAACTATATTTTATTGTCTACCCTCGATATAATAAATAGATGTTTTGTAATTTAAATGGTCTTAATGATTTGATATCTGTAAACTTTCATCTTTAGTCCGTTAAAAATTCCATAATTGCTCAACATTGCCAGATAATAATTTCTATTCAAAGAAGAGCGTTAAGTGAAAGTTGTGTGTTGTGCGCACCAGATTTTTTTAAATAGTGTATAGGTAACGGAAGACTTTTTTTTACTCACCGTTTTGAAACAATTATTGTCTTATTTAAACTGCTTTTTGAAAGTAGCATAAACTGTTGCAACTGCTACTCATGATTAACAGTTTTACCCATCACAAATTTTGGGTCATTCACACAATATCATTTTGAGTGTGTTCATTAAGATCTAGTAGCAGATTGAGCAATACTTAAAAAACTAGTACCATTCCTTGTAACACAAGAATAACAACACCTCCCCCACCACCGTGCTACAATGATCATTTACATGTATGTATACATACATACATGTTTATATATGTATACATACAACTATGTTAGTGTTAACACAGTATAGAAAATGTATAAGGCCAACTTAAAACGAGAGACTTTGAAAAAAAGATAGCAATTGCAAGTGAAATATGTAATAAATTATATGAAGTAAGTGTTCTTAAAATGAAAATAGTAAAGCATTGGGAAAAACATAAAACCCAAGTTGAAATTTAATGCAAAAATTATAAACATTATATTGAATGTAACACAACTAATTAAATGAGCTTAATCCTAATAAATAAAAATAAGAAAAGAGAAAGTTTAACACTAGACTTGATTAAAATGAATACATAATAAAAGCATAAAACTTACTTTCCAGACAAATCTGTGACATGGACAAATGTATCATTGAAACTAGCAAAGATGTGAGCTACTCCAAATACAGTTTCCCCGTCCCTGACTTGAGGTCCCAAGGAAACTTGGACTTGTTCTTGTTGCTGCTTTCCCTTACGTGGAGCCATTGTTTAAACCTGAATATAAATCAAAATATTAAATTATTGAAAATAAATAATACACAGATTTTCCTTAACTATTAATTGTTAAGATATGTCTTCATGCAGACAACCAAGAAATTAAGTTATTGTCTCATTCATAGAATTTACTTTTTCTGAAGATAAACCATAAACATGGATTCAAACATTAACATGCACTATAAAAAAAAATATTATACCAGATTTCTTCTCTATTACTTTAAATACATAGTAATTAACAAGTTACAAATATATCGAAAACTAAAATTATTCAATCATGCGAATTGCTAATAGGAAACATTATAAATAGATTTTGTAAAATATTATATATATAAATTAAGGCAAATCAAATTGACTAGCCGATATTGGAAAGGAAAACACTCCATGCAGATGTACAGGTTAGATGTCAAGTAAACCTTTGATTTAATACAAAAAAGTTAGAGACTAGTTTCATAAACGTAACGAACAGCTAAAATAATTAATGTAGAGATGGTTTTTAACAAAATATATGTAAGTACAAAACCGATGAAATCAGATTACTTACAGCTAAGTCTCGTACGAATCGCCAATATGGCAGCTGAAAAAGAGAACTTGCGGTCCGCACCAAGAATACAAAGAGGTTTCTCAACACAATGAACTGTAGTTAACAAAGAGGTTTTCATTTCTGATAACTAGCATTGCTCAAGAAAAAATTATCATAGCTCTTTGTATCATTTAATATTAAAGTATCTTAAAAAAATATTTACAACTGATTATAAAACAAGATTATTTGGACAAAAATAAAAACTACGACTTTATTTTTAAGTTATGAGAATGTATCTAAGTGGAAATATACACACACAGGAAAGAAAAATGTATTTTATATCAAATAAATATTAAGCAATAGAGATTTATACCGATTTATGACCAACAACCGACCCGCATTAAACAGAAGAAAAGTTTATATACCGCCTATTAAGGAAAAAGAACTTAATCACTTCGTGAAAGTGATTATAGCATTTAATAATTTTATTTTATTACAAGGAATGTCTATAATGCTTCATCTAATATGACTGCTGTTACCTCTTGAAGGCGTGTATACCTTAATTTAATTTTTCATTTTTTACAACAGTTAACTTACAACTGTAAGAATCCCATAATTTTATGTTTGAAAGGCAATCAAATCTTAACTTTCTAAACGTTAGTAATATTTACCATTTCCAAAATTATTAGCTTTAGAACCAAATTCCAACTATAGGAGTGAACTTGGACTTTGGAATGTAAAGACCTGATATTTCACGTTCATATTTAAAGCCAGCTGCTGTCAACCTGTATCCTATCAAGTCTTAAAAGAAGGGCTTATCCACATCTACAGATATGAAATAGATATTAGCTAATGGTGAGATACATCGTTTTGTTCTTTACTGAAACATCTAACTGGAAGTTTATTGCTATCAGCAACTCCTAAGAGTTAAATTATTCGATTGGACTGCCTGGTCAGTCATAGGCTCTGCTACCCCTTTCATTTGCAAAATTTTGGGTTGTAATTGCAAAAGTGAGATGTGATTGCTGACCTCAATGTGTAAGACAAAGATTCTGTCTACCAATTAGAGAAATCTGAACCAATAAACAGTTTCAATGAAACTTTAGCTTCCTTGGGGATCTGAACTTCGAAATTAACGATATTAAGTTGTGGATTCTGAGGCAAAAAAAGATTGATGCTATCAATATTCAAAAGTTAAATTCAATTTTTAATTAAATATTTCCTTCTGTCCAAGCCAATTCCTTAAAGGATACTTATTGCTTCGTTTCTAATTACTAAGATACCCAACAACTTTCCTTCAACTGCCACAATGCGATTTCTTGAATTACTATAAACTTTACATTTAAATTATGTCACATGTTTGTAAAATCATTAGATGATTTGAAAATACAAGTTTACCTACCATATTCCTTATATTCTTCTTATTATCCCAACTGACTGTAATTTTTAACATCTCTGTTGATCCATTTTAAAAAGCCAAATTCCAAAATGAGCACAAATAAACTTTTTGAGTAAGATGGTCCAGGGTGGCGGTACAGTGAAAATCTATTTAATTTTAAGCTGGCCTTTCGACCCAATTATACAGATCTTCTTCAGGGCTAGAAGGAACAAGATACAACAGGATATAAAAAATTGTGGGAGTTGCATGGAAATAACAAATAGTATAAATAGAAAGTAGGTTCTGGTACTTAGTTATTCTTCATTTACTCTGTTTAGAATATTTCAAGTATAATTAATTACTCTATTAAGTATAAATCAATTACTCGGTTTAGTATACTTAAATTACTCTGCCAACTTAATACTTCATTTATTCAGTTTTCTAAGTTGTTCTTCATTTAATCTTTTTTACTGTTATTAAATTTATTCATATGTTCACTTATTCATACTTCAGTTTATCTTTTTTACTTTGTTATTAAATCCATTTAATAATTTTATATCCTTCCTATTCCTACTGTTTGTAATTTTCATGTAACTCCCATAATTCTTTATGTATTTTTGTATCTTGTTCTTTCCAGCCCCAAAGAAGAACTGCATAGTTAGGTCGTTTTTTTAACATTGGATTGAAAAAAAAATTTTTTTTTCACTATTTAAAGTTTTTTTATGACTGCCACCCCGGACCATCTCCTTCCTCAATTATTTACAGCGGTCAACCATCGAGTATTTAATAAGTAAACTTTTCATTTCTTGAGTTTCTCAAATCCAAACATTTCTTGGAACAAGAGATAAACAATATATCTGGGCATTAGAAAAAATATTTCTAATAGATATATATTATAGCTAACATGACTCATTTTTAATTTTTAAAAAATAAGGTTTTCTTTCATTGAGACCATACAGTAACAAATGACATTACACATCAACAAACACTGCAAAAATCTGTGCGGCTTTGATTGATGATTGATTTCTTCTGGTCAATCTTAGTCTCTCGATTATTCAGAAATAAAAAAAGAAACTACTTAAAACATAACATCTTTGTCTTAAACAAGCAGAAAAAAAAATGAATGGAAAATCTATTACTTAAAATAAAAAATAAGCAGTTTATCTCCTCTTATGAACAAGTTAGTTTGCACTTACAAGTTTTTGCAACATGTCAATCCCACCCAACAAAGGACTAGGTGAATAGTTATATTTTAATGATAAATAAGTTTATAGGGAGTAAATCTAGTTTATATTTTTTCATAATTAGTTGTTTTTTCTAATAAGTGTTAGTATAAACCTTCAGATTTGATTAAATTTATAGTTATTTAACAAAACATAAAAATCATGGCTTAACTAATAATGGTCCAAGTTAGAAAATATATATTTTTTCATTTTTAGGGAAATAGATTAACTTACAAATGATTGTATAATTTACCAAAAAATATGTACTTTTTGAATAAGAATATATTTTAATGTCTTAATAAAATTTTCTTTTTCCCATAACACACATACAGCACAAAAATATAGTTATGTTTCATCAAAATTGTTTAACCTATTTTGGAGTTTCAATACAGAAACCATATTTTTAATTTATTGTACTCAGAGTGCTTAATTTGATTCAAAAGCATTGACGACAATATTCAAAGAAAAAAAAAAAAAAAAAAAAATGATCCACTTGTTTAAGAGACAATTGTGGCACAGATCCAGAGACTTATCAGTGGCTGAAAATGCATTATTGACTCATAAATTTCCGAATTGTAATAATCTTTTAAAAATTCCATACAAAGAATTTGACCCTATTACCCCCATTTTCTTAGCTAGTAGCACATTTAAGTAAAAATTACTAATCCACACAAATCAATAATTTTGCATTACATTAACAAATGTGATAATTTGCATTAATAACATGGTAAGGGTAATAAATTTGTTGTGACAAAAAACGAAGTTCAATTAATTTCAACATTTTATTTAAAATAAGAACGCTTATTTTTATTCAATATTTCTTGTTCATATTTTGTCTTCACAAATAAATTACAATATATACAGATGAATGTAATGGGGAAAAGTATTAAACGATATTTGGTGTTCTTAACTATTAGGTAGGCATTCTTTGGTGGATTTCAATATAATTATTGAGACGAAATGTTAAAATAAATATAATACTTTCTTAAACATATCTGTTCATTAATAAATTATTCAACAAAAATACATAACAATAAGTAATTACAATAAATATTGAACATGAGATATCAACATATCAGATTCAGGATTTTCTACATAGCCAAGTAAAGAGCTGAGATAAAAGTGAGAGCGAGAGTTAAATATCCTCCGACGTACACATTTTTTAAGGTGAAGAATTTTCCTGTGTCCCAAGCCTAACAACAGAAATAAATATTAAAAACATATAAAATAAAGTTGATAAATTTAAAAATAATATAACTGAAATGAAAAATTAATTTTTCTTTTATTCTGGGAAACTCAATCCCATAGAAATATAAGAGAGTCATAAATTAAAATAATATTGTGAAAAAATATTAATTGTAATAATTTACAATTGGATAATAAGCATCAAGATTTTAGATATAATAATTATTTGCACAAACATAATCAGGGAGTAAAGAGGAATGTCAATGTGTTGAAATAAGATTTGGTAACCTATTTATGTTGCAATGTGCAGATAACAGCTTAGCTTATAATTCATCAGATGATTACATCCTAGATCTTATGAGAAGCTCTATGGGCTATAATATTATTAAAAATGTTTCTTTTATGGCATCGTTATCATAGGTAACAGGAATTCAAGCAACGACAACTGAAGAGCAAGCAGAATGCAATATTCAAGCTTCATGGGAAGAAATTACTTATGAAAGAATGTTATAATAACTACACAGTTCATTACTAATCAAAATTGTCAAATTATTTTAAATAGTAGAAAAAAATAAATTAAAATATGACATTTTTACTCAGCTAATATCTTAAATTTTAATAAGTAAAGTGAAATATTTTTTATGAGAAGGAGTTAATTGGGGGTTGCGGTCAAATAAATACTAAATTAAAATATAGTAATTATTTAATTTAGTTTATTTTTAATTTATTTTAAATTAGTATATTTTAATTTAGAATTTATTTGACCGCAGCCCCCAATTAACTTCTTCTCATATTATATCAATGGTCAACCATCTCTATATCATTAGAAATATTGTTTAAATATAAAAACAATTATTGCAAAATAGTTTTTAAAATAAAGAAATATAAAGCTGCTAAGCTAATGAATGCTTTTTAGTTTTTACTGTAAATAGGTATACTTATCAATATTAAATGAAGAATCTAGTTTTACAATTTTAATTTAGCATTCATCTTTTCTTTTTCTTTTTTTTTTACTTATAGATTAAATTTAAAAAAGGGTGATTAAATAATGGTATATATTGATTAGAAAAAAAAGCAAGATAGAGGGATTAATGATATCAGTTTAATATTTTTTCTCAAGCCTTGTAAACATATTTAGTGCACCAGATTGAATCACAAAAATAGGATGATATAAAACTAGAATAATTGATAATACAAATAATAAAATAAATAAAAAAATTACCAAATGTCTAATCCCATTGAAAATGTGATATGTAGCAGGCAAAGCTAACATAAATTTCAAAGGAAACAACACAGCGGTAGGTATGCCCAATTCGGTGACACTATGAGCAAGCTGGGCCACATCTGATGTCATGAATGAGGCTGTGAATTTAAAAAGACAAATTTGATTTTAAAAAATTATGATAAATGAAATATTAAATTCTTTAATACATTTTATTTTTCACATATTTCTAGAATTAAAAAAAATTATACAGGTTCTCAATAGTAATAAAGTTAGCATTAATAATATTCATGAGGAACAACAAAGATATATACAAATAAATTAAAATAAATAAGTAAAAATAATCGATAAAAAAAGGAGGCGGAGGAGAGTGGGGGGGGGAGGGGGGGGTGCAGTCAAATAAATACTAAACTTTAAAAAATAGAATTAAAAAAAATTAATTATAATTAAAAATACTATTTTTTTCAATTTTCTATTTATTTGACCGCACCCCTAACTAACTTCTTCTCGAAAATTTTTTAAAATGAAGGAACCCAAAACCAACAAACGATTGTTGAACCATTGATATATTTGCACTACTTTATATGTTTTTTACCATTCGGGAATAAACGTAAAATATAAAATATTAATTTTTAAATTTAATTAAAAATATTAAAGTATCATTTTTATTTACCACAGCATTATAAGCAACTTTAGAAAGACTAAACCGTTGTGTATATTAAATATTTTAAATATTTTTACAAGGTAAAATAAACATACCACCAGCCAAAGCAACAGCATATGCAGAAAGAGCCATACCACTGACTCTGTACGATATTGACATCATAGAAGTAAGCTGAGGTGCGTAAATAGTAAGGTGAGGAGACAATGGTCTCTTTGCGGAGGCATTTCGTTCTTCGAAAGATTGTTCAGGTACTGTTTGTCCTTGGGTAACTTTTAAAGTTACACACCGGATCCTACAAAATAATAAGTAAATCTTACATGAGTATTTGAAAAATCATTAAACATTAAAAAAAATAAAATATTGAAATTACATACTGAGTGGATGGAATCCTTAAAGACTGAGAGTGGATAGAACCTGCAAGTCTCCCCAGAAGGCAACTGCTGTAAAAGGAAGTTAAAATTTTAAACGAATTTCTTAACTTATATAATATTTGTCAATAATAAAATATCGTATTAACATTGCTTTGTAAATCAGAAATCTTCAAGACATTTCTAAGGAATAATCTGATTATTCTTAAAAACCAAATTGTAATTAAAATTTGAGATGTATAAGATTTTAATTCTTAAAAAATACAGCACAACTCTTCCCTAGTTTTATTAACAACTAAAAATATGTGGAAGATGTATCAAACTATTATGGGTAAATCATTTAAGTGACTATAAATATTGTTCTTTTCATAGAATTATTCAATATCCACTAATTTTCACAATTTATTTAATGGCTGATTTAATATTACAAATAATGTTTTATTACACAATAATTATTAATTTGTCTCACTGTTCTATTATTTTAATTAAAGGATAGTCTGTTAGTGGGAAATTTAAAAATAAATATTATTTTCTTTTCCTTTTAATAGGACTTATAACCGCTGAGGAACGAAAAACTACTTTTATAACAAATTAAATTTAGATTAATTTTATTCTTATAGATATGGTATATTTACCTTCTTAAAACAGACATTTTTAATAAGAATATAAATTATTGGAAAGTTCTAAACAGTAATATAGGCCTTCAGAGGTAATTACAGCTGATAGCTTTGAACGGCCCCGTTCTATCTGCAAACAAAGAGGTCTGACATCCCAGAACAAAAACCCCATTATAAGAAGATTTAAAATTAGTTGTATTTACGTTTCAAAATAATGAAACAGCGATCATCTCTACATTTCATTCAATTCAATTGTCTATTTAAACAATAATCTTGAATACAATAACAATATTAGATTGTTCACACTAATGTTAAATGTACTTTCCATAAATCATTTTTCATTTTAAAAAAACTTTTAGTAGGCATTTTGGAAGATACTTTGATTTGCTGTGTTATTTGGAACATTAATTTACACGATGGAACTAAAATCCAATCTTCATAGATTGGAAAGTTTAAACGTTCCATCAATTAAAATGAGTCATCTAATGTCATAAGTTGTTGCCTAAAGAAGTTATGAACATGAATGTGGCTTTAAATAATAAAACATTGTAAACTAAATAACGTTCGGAGTTAAAATAAGACTACAGTTCTCCTATCACGAATAGAGATGGAAACGAAACGAGAGAGAATCTTGCTGAGCGGTCTTTCTGGAACTACACGTCTTATGCGATTTGTCTTCGTAAACGAGGCGATATTAAATCAAAGCGAGAGAGACTCGAACTGTGCGCCTTAATCAAACTATGCGTTTCATGCGATTTTTCTTCGTTAAAGAGGTGATATTCAATCTGTGCTACTTAATCAAACTATGCGTTTTATGCGATTTTTCTTTGCTGAAGAGTTGATATTCAATCAAAGCGAGAGAGACTTGAACTCACAACGGGATTAACTTGAACTCAAAGCGAGATAGAGTCTTGCTGAAGATAAGATCTCATCGCATCTACCCCTAGACCTTCGTTTTAGCTTTCCTTCCGTCCTTCACAGGTCAAAATATGCAACGAAGAATTTTGTTCTCAAGCATAAGAAGAGCCTTTTTTTCTGAAATAGTTGATTAGTTTGAGCTAGAGAACGTTGAGAAGAGAATGAAGGAATTAATTTATTTAGGATCGCAAGTCCCAGAATGACATTGCACAGAAGATTCATCATCTGATCATCTCCGCAAACAGGTGTTACCATGGTCTAGTTGGGCATTTCAAGAGCACAGTAGTAATAGGAGCCACTAAGATCTATCTGTATAAGACAATGTTAAGACTGGTACATACTTACACTGTAGAATTTTGGACTATTACCAGGAATCTGGAACAGGCTCTGCTAAGACTTTAGTGGCAGATCCTGAGGAGAATCTTGGGAGCAATAAGTATAAGTCTGAAGACAGCAGACCAATTCCAAATTAATCGAACAGTATGAGGATGCCGCCTCAGATGCGCTGGATGTCATCAGAATGCATGAGCGTTGGGTCCCTAAAAACATACCCATGGAAGAAATATTTAGCTAAGGAATGAGAGGAAGACCAAGCTTGCGGTGAATGTATGGCATACTTGCCGTTGTCTCCAAGCGAGACATAGCACCATATAAGAAGAATTTTTATAATCACAAGATTTTAAAGATTTTAGAATAAAAAAGCTAATAAGTATGTCAATACTTTCTGAAATATATTTTCTCATAAACAAGTAATATATTCTTATTTTTTTCCTTTGTATTTCATATAACTCAACAATAATAAACACTTACATGGAGCAATATTTTGAATGATACCAGAGAAAATGCTACACTTGAAATGGTGAACATGTAGGAAGAATAGCTGGTTAGTGACGATTATCATATCACAAATGCACATCTTTGAAATATGTTTAGTACTGTAACTTACCTACAATATCCTTTAAATAAATTCATTAATAAAGCCAAAATAAAATGTATTAATGACTCATCCAGAGTGTCTGCAATACCCTGTAATGGAATTCCCTTACTTTTCCAGATCATGTTTAGGAAAATTTCAGTATCCATCCAAATAATACAATTTTATAAACTTATCCTTATTAATAATTGTGTATAATATTTAACATTTTAGATAGTAGGCACCTCATTTTATATCTCTAATCTTATGTTACACACTGATCTTGATATTCCTTTATCACAGCAACTGCTACAGACTGTTTTAATAATTTCCTCAAACTCACTTACTCATGCTCTATCTGCAGCCAGATACCCATCCGTCCACAAGACTGCATTGAACTACTTGCTATGTTATCTTATGCTTCTGTGTTATTATGTTATTTTTCTCTGTTTAGTTTTGTTATTTACTTCTATTTTATTTTATTGTTTTAACTACTTATCAAATTCATATTTTCTTGCAGTTTTTTTTTTTTTTGTCTTTCTTCTGTTCTCCTTGATATCATGGTTGCTTAATACAATGATAGATAGCACATTTATCTAGTCAGAAATATGTATATCTTATAAGTAAATAGAAACAAACGATAAGGACAAAACACAAAATTGTCAGAAATTTCTTTAATGGGCTAGCCTAAGCCTAGGGTTAGAAATTCTTAACATTTTTGTTCCATACTTATAATTTCAACAGTTCACTACTTAGCCATCTATAAAGATAAAAGATATTGTAATTCACAATATTGAAGGCTTTAAAAGAAAATTATAATTTTATTTTTTATATTGTCAGTTTACTGCAAGAAGTCATTAAGTGCCATTTCATAACTTCAAATATGCTCCTTTCCTTGGTTTATAAGAAACAATCAACTCCATCGTGGACTTCAAATAGAAACAATAGATGAATTCGTTGAAAAACGCTTTCATATAACGCTCACCAAATATCATTCCCAGTTACCTACAGTTAAAGGTGCAGCAGCTTTCAACATATAAACCCGGATATCATCCCATTGACTGAAATTTTTGCAAGACCTTCTAATGTGAACTCTTTTACAAAAACACACAATTTTTATTTCTATTATTTACATTTTTTATACATTATTTTTTCAGATTTTTTTTTTCATATTACATTATTTATTTGTAATTTTTTCTTTCATTATTTTTATATAAAAATTTTTAATTATTTTTTTATGTTTTTTTACTTTATTATTATTAATTTTATATTTTCCTTAAACTTTATTTATTGTATTATAATTCATGTATTCTACAATCTTCACTAGTCCATAGTAATAGGCAACATGTATTGTTAGGTTTATCTTTTGTATGACAATACCTCAATAGTACCTCCGCTTAGCTAAATGTTAAAAATTTAATTATTGTTAATTTATCTAGGTATAGCTCACTAAACCGATCTGGAAGTAAAGAATATATATAAAAAAATAACATACAATAGTTATGAACTTTGATGAATTTTCCCTATGTGTAATCAGAACATTTAGTGTATAAAAGGGTTTGTGCCATTTTAGTGCACTTGTGTTTTTTATCGATAAATTATGTCAAAATTAAAAACAACATTCTTAAAAGTTTAGCTCCTTCAAAAAAATACTTAGTGCCTATTTGGAATCAAGCGATGCTAGGTTTGTAAGAAATCTAACCAAACATTAAACAGCCTGACTTTTGCGTACAAATAATGTCAAAGCAGTTTGTTTCATAGGCTCCGACTTATGGAAATTATTCAGGGGCTAGAGGAATGGGGAACCTATAATGCTTGTGTCATTGACCAAAATAGGACACTAAACTAATTCTGCTACGCCTGCTAATAGATATATCGAGTCCTATATAATGGAATTGTAATTTACAAAATCAATATGTTCATGAAATTCATATTATAGCAATTTGTTGAGGGGGCTGAGCTTCCACAATTACAACATTGGGGGGGCTCAAGCCCTGTGAGTGCCTATGGCTTCTTTGACACTAAAATTAATAAAAGCATCATGTATAAAACTGAATTTTAAACTTTTTTGGCATGAAAATATAAACAACCATTTATCATCATCAGCTCAGAACAATTTTCTTAATAAAGAATAAAGTAAGAAACAATGGTATTTTTCCAAACAATTTTCTCATTTCAGATCTGGTACATACCCTTGTCTTCCCTAGCCTGCTGATAATTGATTTTTTACTATTTATTCTTAATTTATTGCAAAATACCTTTAAGAGATATTTTTTGACATGACAATTTTTATTCAGCTTATTACAGTGATTCAAGAAAAGAAGCAACTTACTATAGTTGACTAGAGTCAATTACTTTTTCCATTTAATTTTTTTTTTTTATAAGGGAACTGGTTGTTCATAAACTAACTGATTACTTATAACAATTTGAATCCAAATAGTTATATAATGATAGCAAATATAGATTACAGTTTTGATATTATTGGAAGATTTCAAATCCAAGTCCCTCAGAAATCAAACAAGTCAATCAACCAGTTTAATTCATAAATCACCAGTTCAAGCATCATTAGCATAAGCAGTTATTTACTAGGATTTGAATTAATAGCCATTCTTCATTAATAAAAATAGATAAAATATATATTTCTCTTTCAGTCATTGGCATTAGTTATTTACAATTAAAATTGTGGCAATGAAGATCTTAACTTCCAAGTTAATTATAAATCCAATTCATCTTCAGTTGAAACTGGAGCAAAGCATTGAAGGATCATGGATTCAGTGATTTCCTCAATTTTCTCAGGCTTCCACTTAGGAGACTTGTCTTTGTCAATCAAAAGTGCCCGCACACCTTAAATTGAAAAATAATATCACATTTCTACTAGAATTAAAAAAAATCATAAATTAAGTGTATGAGATCTCTGCGATTAGAAACAAAATGACCAATGTCCAAAACATATTTAAATTAGAAAGTATCTACAATATTTATGAAAAGGGTCATTATCCTCTGATAACAATTTAACAATAGTTATGCAATTCACTCAAATTTCAGTTTTAGAAACTGGCCCATTTTGTTTAATACACAAAGAAAATTTAAAATATTTTTACCTTCATAAAAATCTAGCGAGATTGTGCCTTCTAAAGCAGCACTGGCTAATCTGTATTCCATTTGTAAGCATTGCCGTAAATCCATTGATTTACCCATAATTAATTCTTGTTGAGATATTTTCAAAGAAGTAGGGGACATTTTACTCATTGTATTCACTATTTCTTTAGCCCAAGGGGAACCACTTTTATTTAAAGCATTAAAAATATCTTCGACCTGGCGCAATCCAAAAGCATTATCTATGATATCAAGATGATCTTGTAATGAGAAAGGTATTGAACTAGTGTCAGCTGAGAATTTCGATAATGTTTCTTCAATTGCTTTGACTTCGCCTTCAGTAGCCACTAGACGAACAAACAATTCTGGTATATCAGCACTCTTACAATAATGTGTGGCGAAACCAATCTTTAAAGTTTCTGCACCTTTTAAACGATATCCAGTTAAAGCTAGGAACATACCAATATTACCAGGAATCCTAGACAGAAAATGACTAGCTCCGACATCAGGGAATAATCCAATGGCCGTTTCTGGCATAGCAAACAATGTATTCTCAGTTGCTATACGATACTTTCCATGAACACTTAATCCCACACCACCACCCATTGTTATACCATCCAAGAGAGCTATATAAGGCACTTTGTATGTACCAATTTTATGATTCATTTTATACTCCGTCTTAAAAAACATTTTACCCCCAATCGTATTTTTCGGTCCTCCAGAAGTAGCACCTTTAATGTCTCCTCCAGCACAAAATGCTCTACCAATACCTCGTATTATAACCATCGACTTGGTGTTTTCCCATTCTTCCAATTGTTCACCGATTAATTGTACCATTCCTAAGTTAATAGCATTTAATGCTTTAGGTTTATTTAATGTAATCACTCCACAATTATTTTTGGTTTCAAATAAAACTTCTTCAGTTTCGGAAGTGCTGAACATCCTTTGTTTAGGTTTAACTAGAGTTAAAAACTTTTTAAATTGGGATGATTTTAACACAATCTAAAAAAAAAAAAAAAAAATGTACATAAAAAATAGTATACATGTTTATTTAAAATATTAATAGTGGTTAAAAAGTCAGCTTACCATTTTTATTTAATATGATAAACCCACCCCTGCAATTAAAATAAAATAAAATAGTTTTTAATACTATATTCTATTATATAACAAGCTCATTCCTAGACCAAACTGTTAACTCCTTGTCAAAATTGATAAGTCGTTGATTACAGTAAAGGTTACAATACCAACCTTTTTCTCATATTTCAACGTAAACAATGGATACGACCTTGGATCGTGAATTAATTAACGTTTATATTTTATTTCAATATTTAAAATTTAATCATTGATGACTCGGTCAAAAATGATTTTATAATTCGTTATATGAAGACTCACCTAAATTATTTTACTCATTAACGATACTTAATGCATAAACTATAATTGATGAATCAATCAAAATAGAAATATTTCATTTTCTAACTTCTTATGAGAGAATATGTGAAAATTACCTATTCAAGAATGTTTATTTTTGGAGTGGATATCTACTTACAAACGCGCGGGAGTTACAAACTGTTAACTTTCTTATCAACGAAATTAATTTGAACTGGCTAGGTGTTTTTTTGGTATTGAAAAAGTATAATATATATTTAAATATTTATGAATAATTCATGTCCCCCCCAAGTTGGTAATCAAGCCCTGAGTTAAATGGCTGCGTGACTTTTGTCACCTTCAGTCATAAACAAGATGCTGCCAAGTACAGGTCGAGGACTCTTTTATTTAGCTTACAGCGGCTTGAAAATTTTAAAACCAATTGCTGTTCAAACTATTAATCGACAGAAATTGTTGTCTAATAGAAATGTAAGTAATTCTAACTAGGCTAGATTTAAAAGTTTTTAATTATCTCAATTTAAAAAAAAAAAAGTAGCTTAAAAGATTAGAATTATTTAAAGTAATTTTTCATTTTTCAATGTTGTAGAAGTACAACACCGGAGTATTTCTAGTATCCTTGTCAATTTTTACATCTAATACAAAACCTATCGATGATAGTGAAGAAAATGAAATTGAGGAAGAAATAAAATCAAAAATAAAGGAAGCGGACTTATTGTATAAGCAAAATAAATATAAAGAAGTTTACAATCTATTGAAGGAATATGAGGCATTTAAATTTGACCTATGATCATCTTATATTAGCTAATTCATTTTTTTTTATATATAAATTTCTTTTAGGATTCATCTGAAGTGGAAGTTCTCTGGAGGCTTAGCAGAGTTTTGTACAATATTTCTCAAGAACATGAAATGAGACCAGATGAAAAAAAAGCTCTTATTTTTGAATCATTCGATATAATCAGTCGGTCTCTTGCTTTAGATGAAACAAATTTCGCAAATCATAAATGGATGTCAATTCTATTAGATGCTCGAACTGCTTATGATGGTATTAAAGCTAGAATATCTCATCTGGGTTCAGTAAAAAATCATATGTTGGTTTGTATCATTATTAGATAATAATAAAAATACAATATTAAAAATTTAATGATAGAAATATATTAGTAATGTAATAGGTTGAATTTCAGATTTCGCTCAAGTATATACTAATTTCAGAACATACTTAATTTATCTTTTTGTTTTCGTTAATTTATCATTTAGTGAACAATATTTTTACAACTTAAAGAGTAATAATATCGAATAAAAATAAAATCCGTATTTAAATTCACACACACACATATAATATATGTCATATATACATTTGAATTAAACAACTTTTAAGATCAGGTTCTTTGTGGACTCTGTCTTATTCTAATTATAAACAGAAGAGCACTCATTTATTTTTGTCTTGTTTGTATTTAGTTGTTTATTCCCTGTCAGATTTTTGTTTCTCTTATTTGTTGTTTCTAATTATGGTTTAAAATTCCAGAAAGCTATAGAATTAAATCCTAAAGATGCTACTACTCTTTACATGTTGGGTTTATGGTAAAAAAAATTATTTATTCATGATATTTTTTATCATTATTAGGATTGTATATAACTAAACCGTTTTATTTTGTTTATAAAGGTGCTATCAAATAACTGATATGCCGTGGTATCAGAGAAAAATAGCATCTACTGTGTTTGCCGCACCACCGGTTTCTTCTTACGAAGAAGCCTTGGAATATTTTATTAAAGCTGAAGAAATAGAACCCAGATTTTATAGGTAAATGACTCATCATTTCATTTCATATTTTTTTCTTTTTCATTTTACATTTTTTTTATAAATGACTTTGCTAGCTCAATAATATGAACTGCTCCTAAGTCTTAAAAGCACTGAGAAAAAAGTTTTTATGTAATCAGGTCAATATTTTTTATTTAATAAATTTATAATATTTACACATTTCACATATTTTTGAAATAATCATAATATATAAATATTTCTTTAAAATAATTATATAACTTTTTTATTTTTAGCCAGAATTTATTGATGCTTGGAAAGACATATCTGAAATTGAAAAAAGAAGATAAAGCGAGGTACTACTTAGATTTGGCTTGTCATTATCCCATTGCTACTGATGATGATCACTTAGTAAGTTGAATTTATTAATTTTAATTATTTTGTCCTCATTATAACATCATAATTTTTTACTATTATTATGTCCGCTGATTGTTGGTTTAACTCAGACAGGGAAGAACCCATTTATAAACTCACTTTTATACTAATTTTTTACTCAATTCTAACCCACAAGTGCTTGGCAGGTGCATGTCTTGGTCTCTTTTGATTGAACAAAACAAGTGTGCTTTGGATCGATTGGCTAAATATAGACTAAAAGTAATACTTGGTGACCACCAACATGATTTGACCAAAATGTTTGCTATAAAAAAAATAAAACAAGAAAAACACAATTTTAAATTATTTACATTTAATTTGATAACCTCAGTTCTTTTGAGCTTTGAGGACATAAAAGCCTCCATTCTCAGGTCTTACTATTATTGGCTCTCATCCTTTACCGCATACTCCAAGTTGTGGTAGGTCAGACCCACCTGAGTCTTTTTTTTTAAAATGAATTCCTTAAACAAGGAATGGTGATTATTATAAAATAACTGGTTATAGATTACTCTTATTATGTTCTCCAGTTATGGAAATAATTGGTTTTTGGTTAATTTTCTTTTTCAAGAGACAAATTTTCTTAACTGAGCTAAAGAAATGGAATAACTGCCATTTCACATTTTTCGGTAAAAAAAAAGTTTGTTTATAAAATGTGATGTTCTAAATTTTACTTATGATTATTTTTCAATTTAAAAAATATGGTTTTACATTTTTCTTTTTTATTTAAAATAATACTTAAATTGTTTAAATCAGTACAGAAATCATAAAGAAATACAATAGTTGTTTAATTTAAAACAATTACTTAATGAAATAAAGCCTGTACATGAGCAACGAGTTATTTGAGGCTAAGGATTGATGGAAAAAAAAAAAAAAAAAAAAATGCTCATTTAATACTGACATAAAAATTTATATTAATGATAATTTTTTTTTTCAAGTCAAGTTATTAAACTATAAATAAAATAACTAATGGTAACAATAGCACTGAATAATCAAGAAAAAAACAGTTAAACAAAATTAAAATGACTGGTTTTTGGTTAAACTGGCCGGTTATTCTCATCCTTACCTTCAAACACTAGCAGATCCAGGATTTAATTTTGGGGAGGACTTCAGCCTGAAGGATTTTTTTCATATATATAACGATAATTAATTTGAAAAAAAAGAAAGAAACTAACTACCCATATGACATGGTGTCTTAGTGACTCTTGAAGTCCTATTAAATGTAATCACACAAACAATAATAGTTTAAGAGATAGTTTTTAATATTTTTTCTATAAAACATGGTTATATTTTACCATTTTGAGGGGGCTTCAGCCAGAAAGCCCCCCTCCCTCCCTCGTAGATCCGCCTGTGCCTTAAAACACAAGTATCTTTTATCCCCAGTTGAGAAAATTGCTGCCTCATAAGGACATAGATTACTGGCTTCATTTTAATTAATTAATCAAAAGCTCTTATTCATATTATTATGTATTTATGACCATTTGCTCTAAATTATTGTTGTCAATTAGTCATTATGTTATGTTTTTCTTTGTTCTCCATTTCAATTTTATTCTGCATTCTCAAGAATCCTTTTCCTTCTAAAAATGAAAAATTGTGAGATTATAATAGGCATTCAATTTTAGCAAATTTAACACTTTTATCTTTTCTGTTTGGTATATTTATTATTTAATTTTTAATTTATTTTCCACAGGCTAACAAAGAGGCATGTGAACTTTTAAAAAAGTTTAAAACTATAAGAAGACAAAAGGAAGGTGATGTATGAGTCATGTATATAAATATGAGTTATAAATTATATAAATAAATTTTATATGAGTATTTTCTATGTTACATAATTTTTAGCTACTTTGTTTAATAAAATACTTTTTATATATTTAAAAATGTATTTTTGCTTTCCCATGACCTTTACATTAGTTATATTGGCTTTAGTTACACCTTTTACTTTTAACATTTTGTAACAATGAACAAAAGAAATCTTGAGTTCTTGTGTCAATCTCACATAATTCACTTGCCCTGATAATAGCCCACATTTTTGGGTTGAAAAATTGACTTTTGCAATAAAATTAGAATTATTAAGTACTGATTATTTATTCCACAATATACTTCACAGTTTATCGAACGCCTTCAATATTTCATTATAACAATAATAGTAAGAAGGGGAGGGGGGAAGGGGTGCAACCATAGATGAGATACAACACAAATAAAAAGAGTTATTTTATTATGTGCTGACATTTGGTTTGAGTTTTAGATCTTATTCAAGATTAAGCAAAAACAGGATAAAAAGAAAATAAGAAGCTAAAGATGGTAATGGTAAATTTTAAATGTATGCGTAATTAAGGAAAAATAAAATTAATTAAGTGCCAGGGTGTAGCCCTTGACGGCTATTTCTAGGGTTACAAATTTCAAGAATAAAGTTGTTTTTTTGCTTTAGATTTTTTTTTTTTTTTATTAACCACTGTTTGTTGTTTTGACCTTAATTGTATTAATAAAATGTGTTAATGCTATGATTGTGGATAATTGTTGACTGTAGAAAATATATTGAATGGATGTTGGTTGGGGTTTTCAGTAATGAAAGTACAGAGTAAAAATAAATAAAGTATATTTATTTTTATATCCTTTGTGCTGACGATTTGTCCTTTCATCAGGATAGATTTAAGTTCATAGATCATCAGGGCTGCGTTGTCCAATACCCTTTGAGTAAAAATGATGCTATGATGTAATGATATTTATTTTGATATATATTATCTAAAATGTTGATGTTTACTGAAGGAGGCAGAATGGGAAAGAAGGGATGGCATAATGAAACTTGCCATTGCTTGCGAAAATTCTAGTTTTTGACTGATTCTAGGTTGAAATTCTAGTTAAATTTTAGTAATACTGACAGAAGAGTAGGTTATTCATACTATGTACAACAAAATAATAATACTAAAAATAAATGTATATAAACTAAAAGATACTAAACTAATCAAAATAACCACCTAAATACACACATGCTTCTATTCAGTATCTAAAAATTCATTCATTCAAGATTTCTGAGCCAAGCCTTTCTCCCCGTTCATGGAAAGAAAGGCAGGACTCTAGGAGATCTCACTCAGCCGCATTACTGGTATTAAAGACCAGTGGAGGCTGAACAGAGGCGCAATATAACCAACCAGACATACATGACTTGAGTTCAGAAACTGGCCATTGCTTGTTCTTTCTAATTAGTTGTTATCTTGTTTTACTTAGGTGAAGGTGAAGACCTAAATCTTAGGTCAAAACATTGGTAAACAATAAAGTAATTGTTTATGGTCAATAATAGGTTCACTATTATAGAGCAGTAACATTTTTACTGATTGTTTTTTTTTTATCGCATTCTCAACCATAATTGATACTATATTAAATATATACTTTAAAAATATGTGGTTCTACTACGGAATTTACAAGAGAAAGCTATGGACCACAGTAGTAGCCTATGATGTACCTTGATACTTTAAATCGTTAAAATGTATGTATATTATCCTTGGGGTGGATGAATAATAAAACTGATGTTAATGATGAGATTTTGAATGTAGTTATCTAAGCATAATGTTGTATCATCTGTAGTAATGATTTTCAGGACACCTTTTTTGCCCTCATTTTATATTTTGTTAAATGATCAATAACAAACTGTGAAATCCTTGAGTGGATTTGGACGTAAACTTATCTAATGACTTCTGTGCTGAGGAATTATCAATTCAATGGATCAACATGGATATTATATTAGTATATTTTGGTATTTCTTTCAGTTAAATGTTAATTTCTTATAAGAGTTGCCTGTGATCAAAAGTATAATTTTCTATTTTTGATTGCTGAATATGGATTTTCTGAATAAAATAGTGAGAATAAATAATTGAAATTTCGGGTGTTTTCAAGTACTCATTCAGTACTTGAAAACCTTCAGAACCATGCCCTGAAGATGACCCACATGTTTGGGTTGAAACGTTGTACAAATAAAATAAAAAATTGTATAATGACTACATCCTGACTATTTATCATCCATGATATGTAGAACAGTCGACTAGTTTCCTTCAATAATCCAGAATCCATAAAACTTGGTCTGCTGTAAGGACTTCTGCCTTCAGAGTATCACACCATCTTTTGGATGTCATCCATTCTACAGACATGCCATTACCATTTTAATTATCACTCTTCCAGGATGTCACAAACTGATCAGACACTCAAATCCATAATTTCTTTTATTTTGATCTACAGAATACAGAGATTTAAACAGCTTAAATTTGGCCTGCCTACCTAGGTTGCTTTTAAAATCTGGTAGTAAAATCCAATGGCCTTCATCACTCTATTTAGAACATCTCAGCCTATTTAACTATCTATTTGGCTAGAATGGTCCATAGATAAGTTTACTTAGAGTACTCCTTAGTTTTATGATTTTGCCATTACGTAAAATTCTAGACTCCAAATTCTCTCTTCAAATCCTTATGATTTTCCTTTTAGTTGGATTCATCTGTATATCATTAAATTTGACTAAAGATGACTGAATGTATGTATTAATTTCCAAAGGAATTTCTAATTTTGTTACTGGGAATATCATGCATATGATTGTCAGGTTTAAGTTTAAGTCACTAGTGGATCCAGGATTTCGTTTAGGGCAGGCTTCAGCTGGAAATCATTTTTTAAAAATATAATGATAATTAATTTGGAAGACAAATAAAATATTAACTACCACGTATAGATTGATTCAGTGATTCTTGAAGTCTCACTGAATGTAATTACACGAACAATAATACTTTTAGAGATAATTTTTAAATATTTTTTAAAGACATGGTAATATTTAAGCATTTTGGAGGGGGGGAGAGGCTTCAGCCTGAAAGTCTTCCCCTGTCAACCCCTTCTGTCTTTGTTTAAGTTGATGCTAATTAAGAATTTACGACAAGTTTTGAGAATTTTTAAAGACGTTACAGTTTTATAAGTATAGAGATAAATTAGATAATAACTCCGAATTAATAAATGATTTTTTTTTTTTTGGTGGATGCACATGTTAATTTTTACGGTTACATACTTCAGATTTGATGAATACAAATAACTATAAGGTTGTTTATTTTGTAGTACGTTAACTGTGAATTCAAGGTTAAATTTTGTTCGCGAATTGAAATAGATAATGGTTCTTGTAAAATAAAGACCTCCCTTCCCCCCCCTCTCCTCTCGTCGGCCATGTACACTGATTTCTCATCACAGAAAATAGCTAAACAATTAAGAATTCATGTTTATTTTGCCATTTATTAATTAGATAGATGTGTATATATTTTTCTTTCAAGCTCTTTGTTATTCCGGTTCATTTTATTGGACCTGATGAATAAATTTTGATCATTTTGTTTTCAATTACTTACTAATACATTCGTTGTATATAGAATGGCTGACGATTAATTTATTAAAAATTAATTTTTTTGTCATTTTTTTTTTTTATCGTAGGATAATTAAGGTTTTGAATGAACCACGAAATGTTATTCGTAACTTACTTCAAGATTTAAAAAAATAACTTTCGCGCGCACGTAGTTGCAAGCCACTTTTTATTATTCACAAATTTAATGATTTTTGTAATAAATCCTTTAATCAGAACATCGGTGATTCATATAACAATTATTAGCATAATGTAAAGTAATTTTAATTAATTTAAAATTTAAAAAATCAAATTTATACGAAAAATAATTGGTATTATGTTTATCTGCATTTAATTTAGAGAATATGTTGTTAAAATTGTATATTTGTCTTTGTTATTTTTTAATTTATACACTTTCTTTTCTACATTTTTTTGTTATAATTGTTACTCCATAAATGTATGGACATATTTGCCAGTATATTCACAGCCTTTTTAATAACTCTCTTGCCACCCGCCTTTCTTCCTTTGATTCTTAATAATTTACGAATTGAATCCTTATTACTCTATTTCGTTTTTTATTAATAATTAAAACGAGATTTGATCTGTAAGGTTGACAAATAAGCCTCTGAAAGTAATGCATATCCCTATAATTATATCATAATTTCTTTACATTCTTCTAATTTGATTATAAGGGAACCGAAAATGTTCTTAATTTCTTCCAGACTTTCATCCAAGAAGACGATAGAAACTGCTATGGTTCCATAGGGTCAGTATATAAATATTTCTTTCACATTGACTCTATTATTTAACTTTATTTAATTTGCTTTTATATTATACCTTTTTCATCTATTTAAATTGAAAGTAATTAACAATTAGATATATTATTTATAATGTTTTACTGATGTAAATTACAGCTAAGAGAATGCGAAGAGAATATATTTCTGGAGTTAACGACTATTACACCAGCTCTCTATTAGTGTTAAATTATTGCTCTGATCTTAAAGGTATGTAAATACAAAATTAACAAGGTGTTGTCTTCCAGCAAGAATATTTTATTTTACTCGCAGCTGGTTTTGGCAAATTCGAAATTCATCTGTTTACTTTAAATATAAAATTGTTTGATATATTTGTTTTTTTGTATCATTAAGTTGCTTTTGTAGTTCTCATCTGGTAAACTAGTGAAGAAGTTAGATAATTTTATATTCTAACTAGCCTAATGGAGATTCTATTGACCAAAACTAGTTGCTAATTAAATAAAATATTCTTAAAGGAAAATATGTTAGTCTCCTTTAAATTGTTGGTTTTGATCAATGAAGAAATTTCAATAAAATTAAATATTAATTACATATAAATCATTATTTGGTCTTGAATTCTTACTTTAAAGTTTTAATACAAATGTAGACTTAATAATTTCTTGTCAGATAAATAACAAGCATTTCTACTTTTAAGCTTGCTTATTTTTCCTCTTGAATTTAATTTATTTTAGATTTTTTTTTTAAAACAGATTATTAAACTTC